TCAGTCTATCTGCACTAGTAATCACGGATTTATAACACAGGAACTATAAAATTCTCACTAAATCACACACTCCCAATATCACTGTACTACAGCACATATAAAGTCTTAAAATCACACGTTAAATCTTCACAGCTTGACTTCTTGTACTCTTCTTCAACTGCGAACTTCCCTAGACTATCTCCTACCGAGATCTGACTCGTCCCTCAATCGAGCGATTTCTATCACTCATGTAGCCGAAGAACGGACACGCATCATATGTCACGGGGCCATCAGCCTCCGCTGCGTGACGTCACCATGGACACGGAAAAAATAGCCTCCTCTGTTGCTGCGTGTTGGGCAGTGTTTACAGAGCTGTTGCCTGGCAACGCGTTGATCAAATCCGTTACCATATGAATGATTTATTTGGAAATTGGTGGGAATTTAAGGCTCTATCGCTGAACACCTCTGAAAGGAAAACCACGACAAAACTCAGTGAACTGAACTAGGAACCTCGTAAGTATGAATCAGTGTTTATAAGTACAGCAACGTTCCTTAGCCACTAAGTTACAGTGACGTAGACTTTCCATTGACAATAACACCTGCAAGTGCCTAGTGAAGGGGAGAAACTAAGCAACACTCATGGAAGAGTGAAGATGCAATTCGCGCATTGATAGCGTTACCGCTGATATTGTACACGCACAGGTACACACATCATTATTGTGACGTACTTACCCATTGCTAGGCAACGGGTCGGTAAACATACTCCTGTAATACAAGAGTGAGCGGCAGTAGGACTTCTACTGCTAGGCAACGGCACGGTAAACAGCCTTCGTCAATAATACTGGCTGTGTTTTCCATGGAATCCGTGCAAACTAGTTATAAGACGTATTCGGCAGGACAGGAAGAGTAAAAGCAGAGTAGCACGGAGTATAGAAGAGTAGTCGAGAGAATTGTGTCGAGTTCTGGAGATGGAAGTCGAAGGTGGTTGAGAAGAAATGACAAGAAAGTAATTACACCATTATAAGAAGACTTCACCTGTAATCTGAAGTGCAGTGGAACTGTAATAAATCCGATGCCAGGATACGACTAGTGAAGACGGAGATTCCTAGTGCGTGTGTAATGGTGAAACCTAACGTGTGTAGGATAGCGATAGCGCTGTATTACCTGTAGTCCTGAACTGTGTGAATGTACAAGGTGCAATAAATCCAGTCATCCAATCCAGAACCCGTCTTATAAGTCACTCCCTTACACATGACATTATTATTATTATTATGGTCATCATCCAGTAATTCAGGTACCATAATCAAATAGGTACATTGCCGTTATTGTACAGATGATCAGTGTTATTATTCTGGTATTAAAGCGGTATTAATAATTCATGGTTGAGGATCTATGCTACAAGCTGGAAGGTCGCGGGTTTGATTCCCGATGTCATTGGATTTTTTCAATTGACCTAATCCTTCCAGCCGCACTGTGGCCCTGGGATCGACTCATTCTCTACCAGAAATGAGTACCAGGAAACTTCCTGGGGGATAAAGGGCGGCCGGCGTGCAAGGCTGACAACCTCACCGCCATCTGTGAGTAGAATGTCTAGAAAATGTGGGACCCTCAACATCGCACAGCCCTATGGGCCTCCACGTCTTGTTACAGGGATAGTTTTACTTTTTACCGTAATTAAAATATTCTCCGCAAGACGAGCGAGAGCCGTGTAACTGTCGATAGCTGCAGGCCTCGTCTCGTGTAGGCTAGGCAAAGTACAAGGACTTGTGTGTACATGAGGGCTGAACTCTGAAAGGAAAATCACTCCCATATCAAGAACGCACGCCTCGCAATGAGTCAGGTTTATTCCACATAAGCACGAAGTGTAAGATCTACTTCATCAAAAATTCAGTTTATCTTCAGTGAGTACTACATTGTGCAATCTTCTGCAGTTCATCTGACACTAAAATACACAGAACGCGCTACCGCTCGGCGCATCTGAGAACTCCCTGCTTTACTGGTGTGCAGCACTAGATCGGTGTGAGTCATCGGCCTCAAGTCTCGGTCCTGGGGAGAGGAATTACGATACCCACCCGGAGCGGAGGATAGGTTGGCCGAACAGCCAGTCTGGACACGGTACCGCCCCTGGCCAGAACGTAACCCCGGCAATCTGGATAGTAGCATGGTCATTACATTAACTAACCTATCTTGTTACTAGAGAAATGTTCGCTGCAAGTTTCTGAGATAGAATTCAGCGAAGGTACGGCTGCCTCTTATAAGCTAAATGTCCCCCATCTCTTTCGATATTATATACCCTCTATAGTTATACACATATATACGAGTATATCTCATGCTAAAATATTATATGAATGATTAAACTATTCCAAAATATTTGCCTGCGTTCTGCACAGAATCTATTGTTTTCGTGTCTGCTTTGTAAGAAAGTGAAGCTTGAAATATACACAAGAATAATTTTGCTTTCTGCTTTTAATGGATATGAAACTTGTTCTTTCACGCTAAGTGATGAAAAACAAAATGGAGTTGTTTCAGAAGAGAACATTTGGACCTAAAATGGAGGAACAGAATTCTGGAGAATTCTGCATAATGTGGAATTCCATAATTTGATCTACTAGACAGATGTTTATTATGATTATCGCATTATTAGAATGAGCTAGGCAGTGCATGTAGCATGTGAGGAGCGAAATACATATTTACATTTCTGATGTGGAAACCTGAACACAAATGAAAACTTGGAAGGCATAGATGTTGATGGGAAGTTAACAGTGAAACAGTTACTAACGGAAAGGGATGGGAAGATGTAGACTGAATTAATTCGGTTCAGGAGAGAGGCCGATGGTGGGATAGAAAAATTAATTTGTTAAAATGGAGTAAGGTGGGAGGAAGACATATTGTCACGCGTATTATGGCTACAGATGGGGTTTGGATTGGTGAATAGATTTATTGACCATTCACAGGTCGTAACTACCAATAAAGCACCGAGTTTGATGCTAGACAATTTACCAGGAGATGGCCACTGTAGGACTGTAAATGTATCACAGAACGGATCTACTGTCATGCCAGGAAGGAAGAGATAAATGAAAATGAAGAGACACATGCAGACAGGCAAAGGAGGTAGAGAGGAAGAGAGAGTTGCTTGCAGGAATATAAGAAGACAGATCTTGGCAGTACCTTACATAGGAATGCAAACGGTGACTTACTTACTTAAAGAACTGAGCCCTTCTTGAGGAGAAGCCAAATCTGCAACTACTCAATAATTTCCCAGCATTTTATGGAACCCGAAAGTTCATTACCGTGTTCACAAGAGCCCTCCACTGGTCCCCATCCTGAGCCACATCAATCAAATCCATCCAATCCCATCTCTCTAAAATCCATTTTAATATTGTCCACCCACCTACGCCTTGGTCTTTCTAGTGGTCTTTTTCCTTCTGACTTTCGCATCAATATCCTATATGGATTCCTCGTCTCCCCCATTCGTACTACATGCCCTGCGCACCTCATCCTCCTTGGTGGGAAGCTGCGAATATATTGAATAAGCAGTCGCCGACAGCCGACAAGGGGTGGACCTCCAGCTTTGGGGTTGGGTGTGGGGCTCACAACTCCTCACCGTAAAAAATAACATTTTTGTGAAAATGCAAATGGTGGCTAGACCAATTAAATGGATGGAAAAAGACAAGGATTTTTCAGACAGCTGTCTTACGAGCCGTAACAGCTTACAGTCTTGTAGATGGATACCAATATTTCGGAGAAACATCCGCCTCCATCTTGAGCATCGACCCTTATGATACAGCTAACATAACATGTTTCACTGAAACGTTGATATGCGCCTACAAAACTGCACGGTGTCACAATTCAGAATGATATTCGAGGGGAAAATCTCAAAACTCATAAAACAATAAATTAATATATAATCAACAAGAAGGGAAGAAAAATATAAAAATATAATAATTGAGAGTGGAAAACGGAAGAGGCAGAAAAATGAGCTACCCTGTAGAGCGTTTAATGCTCAAAATTTAATTTGCCTCACAAACTTCGCTTTAGATCCAAATACTGATTTTAATCTAAATCTTTTCACTAGTTTCACACACGATGCATGTTAGTAAACTCTACGATATTCGTCCACACTTCATGAAGACAACGCAAAATATTCGTTCATTCTGATGTGGCAACAGGGCTCCTGTGAAAGTGCAGAAGCCCACGCCGAACTGCTGCTGCTGCTGCCTTTATTGTAAAGCAGTGACGCTGAAGCATGACGTGGCTATGAATTCACACAAGTATCCATTGAAGGGCAGAGAGCTAACTTAGAACTAACAAAAAGAAAATAAGAGCCTTTAAAAAGGAGGACGTGAATCCATCGCGATGTGTCAATGTTTACCCGTGCAGTCTGTTGATACTGTCCTGTAAGCACAGACAGTAATCCTTATCAAATATTTATAACCACCATTACCTTATAGCATGAACCAGTCTGAGGACTTAGCAGTGATTGCTTGCTACTCTGGTGCTGACGTGTCACCCCGGACGGCCAGCAATCGAGCTCAGATCCGCGGTTCGTCTTCTTTTGAATTTGCCGTTGTCCCTCCGCGTTATTTCTCCTCGCGGAAGTTCTGACCGTCTGAGCCACTAAGTGATTCATTCATTCTGACTTTACAACAGGCCGACCTTTATACATCTTCAACAGAGTTTGCTTATCAATCGTCTGGATTATTTAATACGAGCTAAATGACCAACCTACTTTTACTTCTTACAATGAATGACTCTAACATTATTAAAGAGGTACCAGATAAGTGAATAAAGAGACCACTTTCTCTCTTTTTTTCTTTCTGCCTTCTTTCCTCCAGTGTTCCCATCTCACTTGCTATTAAACAAAAGACCAGTTGGTTCGATCCCCGTCTGTTTTAATCTCCCCACTTAACAAGCCGCAGCCTCTCTGTCGTTGTGTCCCAGAGCGCAAGCGCGTGGCACGGTCTGTGCACAACCTGCTGCATACCTTGCGGGCGCGCGTCAGTCTGCTGTCGACGCACGAACCACAGGTGACGCGACGCGTCTCTCCATCTCTCTCTCTGATTTTACTACTTGTTTCCCGTCGCAACGAAGCACCAGTAGGCTGTCTCTCCTTGTAAAGCGTCACGTTAAACTGCCACGATCTTCCGGGCGACATCCTTCTGACTCGCTTCTCTACTCCAGCCATGTTTCGCGCTCCGTTTAGGAGAAAACCCCTGTAAATCGGTTTCAAATGTGTTGGACAATTTCTGTTCCCTAGGCACTATACTATCTGTTTCCATAGTTACTTCCTGTCCTAGTTCTGAAGATGTAAATTAATGTGCAAAATTCTAACTCGAAATGAACAAATGACGAACGAAATTCGAAACGACGGGTCACGACGGTGGAGACTTTTAACCCCCCTCAACCCTTAATTCGACTTTGTATATTTTAACACAGCTACAGTACTTTGGCTTACTAGTATATAAGAAACTTAAGTTTGCTCTTAGGGCATAAAATTGTAGATTAAATGTTGGATTTACACGTGTACGGCAAAATGATTAAACCACTGCATGACTTTGCGGAGTGTTACAGACTGTCAGTGTTTACAGAGTGACCGCCACCTGGGACGGCTTGAAACTGCACTGTTGTAGGCTCCCTGTTATTACAAACAATGGCAGTAGAATCAACAATACACACAGACCAATCAGACAAACGGCCTACCAAATCCGAAGTAATGAACTGTCATGAGGCATACTGTCTTCTCATATAAAGTCCTCAGGCTTTATTACTCTTGTTGCTGAAAATGTTTTGAAGCGACCAGAAAACAAGAGGCAGGCGAATCAAACTGTACTTCAAGCTGTCAACAGTCGCAGGCTACAGCAAGGTTCAGGAGACCCACAACAATAAGTAACAGCAGGTAAGGTTCGCCTCAATATAATTTCATTATAATTTATATTTTATCACTCCCCAAAACTCATCACTGTTCCTCATAACCTAAGAGTTGCCATTTTGTTTCTATTCAGTGTAATTTCTTTCTAATATAGAGCAAAAATTACTTATATTTTCATAACAACTGTCCACATATTTCTCCTACGAAAAAGTGTTAGTAGCAGTAGTGAAGATAATTTATGAAAATGGTCTTGAAACTCGCGATAAACTTCACAGAAATTCCACTTTGTGTCGAGGCCATGTACTCATATCGGTTCTGATTTCCAGCACCTCATCCCTGTTAATGTCTTGATAGATTACTGAAGTGGGTCACGACAAATCACTTCTGAATCTTCTTGAAGTCATCATTCATAATCAGCTTCACAAGCAAATTAACACTACAATCTGCATTAATATGTATTATTAACTAAATAATAAAGAGATTTTAATAGTTTTGCACAATTTTGGATCAAGAGATATTTCAATGCTTTGAATATTTAACGTGAAAGTTTATTTTTGTCGAGATTCGTGCGCTGACGGTCTGCCAAGGAAAGGCTGGACTCCGATACCCCGTAAGGCCATTCGGTTTACTGGAGGGTAATATATTATTTAACGATAGTATATCAACTGTGCCGGCTAGTTTGTGTTCTTTCGTTCAGTGAATTTGAAAGAAGAGTCGTTATTAAATATTCACAAAAACGGCGTTAGATCGGCTAAATCCAACCGTAACACTTATCTTCGAAGACCGCTTTACATCTTGCATCAGGAGAACTGATCTGATTCAGTCATTGCAGCTCTCGTCTGATATTTCAGGAAATGCTTTTATGTTATGTGATGTACCTACATCCCATTGCACACCTAACGGGTGTGCAATCTTTGCATAAACTCTGAGGCTAACTATGCTCTAATCACTTCACGGCCGGTTAGAGCAATGCATTCCACACAAAGGGTGGTCTAAGAATGGTATCTTCTTAATTTTCTTACGAATAGTGATATTATTTGTCAGTTTATTCTGGAATATTCCGGAATTTATTTCGGTGTAGCTACATTCTGTCTGCAACAGATACTTTGAACTTCGGCTGGGATTCTCTTCTCTGCCTGTCTTCTCAGAACAAATCAGGAGCCGGTTACACCGCTTGGTTTCTATGGTTTCTGGGCTCTTCATGTTTGTTGTTAAGTGAGGAAGCAGAACAACCTGCTACTTGAGAAGATGGTATGATGAAGACTCCGGACTGGACACATTTATCTCTAACAGGTCGTGGGGACCCATAGGCATGTGAGACGTCGAGGCTCCCATATTTTCTAGGAAATGGTTCACAATTGACGGTGAGGTTCCCGGCCGTCCTTCACCTCTCACGGAGATTCCCCTTACTCATTTCTGTTAGAAGCTGAGTTGGTCCCGGGGCCATAGTGCGGCTGGACGGATTAGTCAATTGAAAAATACAGTGACCTCATCGGGAATCGAAACCGCGCCCTTCCGGCTTATAGCAAAATGCCTGAACCAATTGCGCTACCGCGTACCCAGACACATTTGTAAAAAAAAAAAATGTAAAGCTATCCCTGTAACAGGCCATGGAAGGCTATAGAATTGTGAGACGTTGAGGGTCCCACATTATCTAGACAATCGGTTCATAGATGGCAATGAGGTTGCCAGCCTTACGCTCCGGCCGCTCTTTACCCCCAAGAAGATTCATGATACTCATTTCTGTTAGAGGCTGAGTCGACCCCAAGGCAATAGTGTGGCTGGAAGGATTAGGTCAATTGAAAAAAAAAAATCAATGACCTCAAAAAAAATCGATCCCGCGACCTTTCCTCTACACGAAACAGAAATCCGGTCATTGATCCTGTAATTATTCCTTTTATCGTTTCACTCTCTCCACAGAGCGTAGATTTCACAGATTTTCCCCCTCCTTTTTAATTAACTTGCTCACAAGAGTCCTCAACTGGATCCTATCCTGTGCCCTTGCACACCCTAACATCGGGTTTCTTTAACACTCATTTTAATATCACACTCTCATGTACACTTGGGGTTTTCGATTGAAATATTATGCACATTTCTTCCATACGTGCTACATGATTCGTTCACTTCATACACTTGATTTGATCTCCCTCTTAATAAAGAGTACAAAGTATTAACCTCCTAATTATGCAGACTTCCCCACCTTCTAATTACTTCCTCTCGAATGTCTAAACATTTTCCTGAGCACCGTGTCTCAAACACCACCCATGTAAAATTTTCCCGTTTTATGAAACTGGCTAATAAACAAAGAGATAAATAAATAATATATTTAATTACGTATGCATTGATAAAATGTCCGCAGAATGAAAAGAAAGATTTTTATTAATTCTTATCTTGAATAAATAAATAAATGATTTTCTGTATACCAGAATTCAGTACATACTCGTGCATCCCTCACAACAAGGACACAGTATATAGCTTGTCAGAAGAAATTCAGATTAAAATTTTTGATTTGCGGGAAAGGGAACAACATTTGTTTAAGAAATTGAAGAAACAATGCTCCAGAGCAAAGAAAAATTCTTTTCGCAAGAAAAATTGCGTAGAGACCTATTTTCAGGCGCAAATAATTTTGTTCGCGACTAGGAGCAAGTGTGCGTAAATCTACAGAGCGGTTTTCATTCTTAGAAACTTGTCTCATATAGGAGCAACCTCTCCAATATGCGCTCTTCGTTCCTTTCTTGAGATTAACCTGTAGAAAAAGAGGAGACTGCTGTGGTACAGCAAGAAATTTCAAATCCCTCAGCCTCATAAATTATACACTTGTTGACAACAGGCCAAAGCTAGCTTCTGTTGTTGACTTTAATCCTTCCATCATCTGCAGCTAATCTTTATAAACGCTCAACCTCATTCCGCGGGCGCCCATTGGTTAGACGCATTTCCATTCTCCTAAATAATATATAAACATTAAGTTCATACCTCAAAGGAAACGTTACTTCTCCGCTACAAAGTCCAGCAACCGATTAATGCTGCTTATTCTGAAAACCACAAGAAACAGAGAAATATTTTCTGTGGGCAAACTGTATAGTTTAGGCATGTTAAAACATGTGGTACGTATAGTAACCACTGTGTTTTGGAGGGTTAATATCAGAATTATGGTAAGCATAAATATCGCATTTTAAACCCTGTATATAATGCTACATTTATGCATTTACGTCTTTCTTCTTTGTCCTTTAAATGTCATTTAAATTTTAGATCACACAAAGATGCCAAATTTAATATACAAAATATGGATTCGAGAGGATAGCCTTCCTTTCGCATACTTATTTTATAAAAATGTCTTATTTTCACGGAGCCTATTCCAGGATGGAAAATACTGAATATCTGGTTTATATATAAAAATGAATTAATCAGTTTCGTGTGACGTCACGCTGAAAGGCCAATTCTGTTCAAAACACAATATTTTCTGTAGATTAACTAAAAATAAATTTACTGTGATGCAAGTGGTTTAAGAAATTAAATACACATCCGTGAAATTTTCAAGATTTTCAGTTTGTAACACTGATGAATCATTGTAGTAATGAAGAAAGCAGTCTTCTGGGATTTGGCACCGTGTATATGTGGTGTTAACCGACGTTCCCCCGAAACGTCGGTTAACACCACATATACATGGTGCCAAATCCCAGAAGACTGCTTTCTTCATAGTCACCGCCGTGAAAGCCTCAAATCTTACATTGTAATAATATTTTAAAATCTTTCTCTGACCTCCAAGTAGAAACACAACACGCCATATCTTCCCCAAAGATCATTCATTTATTAGGCCATAGATATTAGCAGACCTGGTGCAATAATAGATATTTACATTGAGAACCAACACAAACGCTTGCGGAAGAAACTTCGAGTTGATTAAACTCAAACGACGAAGTAAACGCATTCACGACCGTCGCTTAAAGAAAGCTTGAGATGAAGACAGCATGTTCCTCCGAAACCAGACTACACGGTGCCTTGAATCATATTCACTGCCGTCAGAACCTCAAATCAGGCGACTTCTAAACCGCGCGTGTAATGGTGGGGCGCCGAATTCCGTCAAAACTGACTTGTTCCGTGAGAATAAGCAGAAGTTTCCAACTGCCACTACGGTCAAACCGACTCAGACGAAATCAATGAAGCAATAACAATAATAATAATAATTCAATTCTTTATTATTTATGTGCCGAGTCAACAGCTACAAGGTCAATTACAGACAGAGCACAGTGTAGATACAGGCAATTACACTATGGACAAACATAAAATCAAAGATAACTTACAATCAAGCATTGGAGGAAAACCCATTAATACAGAGAAGTAAACAAAGAAACAAAGTAATAATAAAATAACAATAATAATAATAATAATAATAAT